ACAAAATAATCAAAGTTAAATGTGCCAGCTGTGCATGAAGGATTTTAATACACTGCACAGACTGGAAAATAGCTTGAAGAACCAATGTTCTTTTTCCTTGTCTGGGATGTCACTGTCAAGCAGCTGCATTATAATCATCTGCAATCAGCAAAATGCTTTTTTTTTATCACTTTCTGGTCTTGGGGAAGAGGGCTCATTTTTATTTCTGTCCTACTTACGAAAGTACCCTTGAATCCTGAGGCACCCACTACCGAGAGACCAGGCAGCTACTACAGCAGTGTAGACTGATCCAAACACCTTCAACTGTCTACGATCAAACCCCAAATATATTGACAGGTTCCTAAGCTTTAAAAGTTGTGCCCAGACGGTAACTGCTCACACTGCTACCACCATCTCAAGAAATAATATGTGCACTTCCACAAATCCAGCAAAAATCCAGCTCCAGTTGCCAGGAGACAGTTGCATATCGTCACATATCCAAGACCTGGGATGGCTCCAGAGCAGAGTCCATCCCCGCGGAAAACCTGCACGCAGCCCAGCATCCTTCTCTGCAAGGACCACCTCTGCACAAGCAGACGGGTCACAGCTGCAAGATGAAGCAAGAGGGGAAGTCTTCCAACCCCATCCTTTACAAAAGGCTGAACCTCTCTTTGATATGTTCTATATATTAAATATTTACAAATAAAATGTAACGTTAAAATATGCTCATACTTTGGAGAAAATGACAAGAAACAGGCTGACCACGCAAAGAGAGCTTTGCCCTTGTAACTACCAAAATGCTTTATAAATCTCTCCTCTCGTTTCACCATCCTGTGAGGCTGTAAGTATTCTACAAATGGGGACACACCACAAAGATGCTTCGCAAATAGCTTTCTGTCCCGCCTACCAGCTGCTCAGCAGTGGTGAGTGGAGCACTAGGATACAGCAAATTGTCAGAGGTGCCTGATATTTTAAGGGACATTATGCAAGACTGCTTGCATTAGAGGAGTGACAGTGATTGAGTTGACAGCAAGCATATATAAATGCCAAGGATCCGGCTACTTCCACTGCTGTTGGAGCTGATCCGGGACTAGAAAATAGCTGTGAAATTCCCATTGCAGATGTGAAGATGAAACTTCCCCAAGCTCTTAAAAAAACAAATAAATCTCTAGCAAAAATCTGATCAGGGGTTTCCATTCCACTGCCTTTCCCAGGCCAAACTATTATTTTAGACTTCACCATAAATTGCTTAAGAGCTTCAGCCCAAGCTCAAAATCTTATGAAATGCAGCTTTTCTGACAGCTTCCCAACTCATGGTAAAGGGTGATTTTGTTTTCTTTACATGGTATCAGCAGTCACCATTCCTGGCAAACCCACACGGCTGCCAACTCAGGGAAGGCATATGCAGCTATGTTCTTCCACTGCATATGAAAATACCCTCCGGTGAGTTTAGCACAAGGCTGTACCGACAGTTTAACTCCTTCCCTGGCATGTTCTTCTTCTGAACTCTGAATAATCTGCTGCTGAAGTTAGCAGATTTGCACTCCCAGCCTTCAGCAGCATCTCATTATGTTTTTAAAACAAAGGCTCTGAAGTTGAACAGATGAAGCTGAACCAGCTTTCACAGCATGCAAGCAGCGGCTGCTTTTCCCACCAACTGTACCCATAGCCTCTACCTGTACTCCCTGCTTGATGGACATCACCACGGTTCCCACAAAACTGCCATGCTGTTTTAGCCACTACCAAGAAACAGTTGTTCAACACTGTTCAATGCAGAATGACAGAAGAAAAACACCAATGCTAAAGCCAAGCCAACAGTCTACTTTCAAGGATGAAACAACATGCCAGGTTGCAGCTGAACTGGAATGGAGAAAATCAGACAGGTCCAGCCTTTTTGGCTTCATCTTCCCTCCCTGAAATGAGCCTGAATAAGGCAGTTGAAAACTGATCACAAGATTCAGATTTAGAAGTATAGCTTAACAATTCCTGCAGGCTACAAGATTTTTGCTAAATCCCAAGGCATTATTCTTCTCTAGTTTCCTCCTTTTCCACTTAAGACAGATTTCAGCTTGTTTTTGCAGACCTGAAAGAAGCAGCTCCTTTTAAATCCAGTGACTAACATCATTCCTTCAGATCTCTGCCAAACCTCATTTCTGCGAGATTTGAAGTGTCTTTGGCCTTGTTTTCAGCTTAACTAGGCTGTATATTCTTCAAGACAAGCGCTCTAGAGTCCATTTGCTAAAGGTGTGATGTTGCCATGCTGCTGGTATGAAACACTATAGTTTAGCTTTATAGGTTTTTTTAATAGTTTGTTTCTGTTAGCCAATGCATTTCCACTCTTATTTTTCCATCAGAAGTTTCTTAGAAGGTATTAAAGAACAAAAGGAAACAAACTCAATACCCTACATTGCTGCCATTTCAGCCAGCCAGTTCAGAGGCAGAATCTGGAGAAAATTACCAGGAGAAGAAAAACAGAAAAAAAATAGGGTGGTGTTTTTTGGTTTTTTTTTTGTACAGTTTCCTGTAAAGGGAGTTATACAGTTGCTTGCAGAGTTATACACTGCAAAGTCAAGCATAGCACCGTAACAGCCTCTGCGGCTTTTATTTTGGAAGATGACAATCATTTTCTGATGCTGGTTAAGCATGGGCAAGAATACACTTGTCCATCATAAATGCACTGTGCACACAAATTGGGAACAACAGCAGCTAACAGACATCTGCCATCAGCAACTGGACTAGGAGCTGCATAGCTACAGGCTCGTTTTAGGAAAGAGGAAAACTCCTTTGTGCTTTTAAGGGAAAAATAAGTAAGTACTGAGGATGCCTAGTTAGGAAAAGGTCAGGAAATGGAAGAATCAGAACACATACAGGTATTTGGACTCCAGAGTACCACAGAGCCCTTCTATCCAAGTCAGGAAGATAAATGCTTGATTTGTTAATTCAGATTGTTAAACAACACTCTTCACAGGAAACACAGCGAGCCATATTATTTTTCCCTACTTCCTAACATTCCAGTTTAACTGTGCCACATTAGTTCAACCTTAGATAAGGGCTCAAAAATGTAAGTTTGAACAAAGCTTTCCAGATTCCTTCCACACATCCGTATGTATTTGTGGACCTGTGAAGTCTCCCGAGCCCTTGTTGAGGAACACTCCTGTTGTGCAGAGGCTGACCTGTCGCACAGACTAGACACACTCTCAGTAACACAGCTGTTGCTTCTGGGGTCATGGTGTCTACGTAAAGGCAAGGCTTGGCACTAGCATAACCTCTCCTGGCTGTCCCGCAAAGTGAAGTGTGCCATTCACAGCTTGTGGCTGTATTTGTTCAATGCATGTTCCACCCACATCCAACATGGCTGTTTGTCTTAGGACGAGTTATCTCCGTTAAGATTCTCCTTAACACGGTCGCACAGCATTTACTGTTTCCTAAGCAAGCAATGTTCATTTTGTGCTCCATTTGGGATGCAGCGCTGTGCACACTCTTAGATGGATTGCTGTTGCTACTTTTTCTTCATCTCTTCACTGACAACCTGTGAGGATAGTACATCTTCCTTCCTTCTTATGAAGACTCATGTCCAAGTTCACTACGAGGTTTCTTCCCCTCTAATATTCTGATCCAAATTCAATTTATTCAGATAAAATAATGGTGAGGTAAGGGAAAATTCTCACTGCTTGCACTCGAATGGACTATTTTGTCATTTCTGTGCATTTTCTGAGGTAGAAAAGATTCCAAACAAGTGAACTAAAGTCACCAGCTTCCTGTAACTAATTTAGCAGCCAACTGCATCACAGCAAAAGAGCAGGTTTACACACTAACAAAGTCACTAGTTGAAAACTCAGCCCCTGCTCAGACACATTATGATCAAGTGAGTGTCTCTGGAACCAGGAAAGAAAATTAAATAACCATTAACTAGATAGAAGAGAGCTGTCTCCTCTTACCACCTACTACTTCAAAAGTAGCATATTACATGCAACTTGATGCATGCAACCAGGCCATTTTAAAACAAGGTATGCACAGTATATCTGACTTTCTGTAAATAAATTCCCTTTTAAGAGTCCAACGTTAGGCATGGGAGGTCTATCATGGTGACATACCACTTCCACGTAACGATTTTGAAGGAGTGAACCCCCCTTCGTATCATTCCAAGGTATTTCTGTGTTTTTTAAAAAATGTTCAACTGTACAGATGAATAAAAGTTACTTCTAAGAGAAGAATTAGGGCACCTTTCCCCGTGTCACTTCATTCATATAACACTGTGACAGAGAGTTGCTGTTGCTGGATTTTATTTCCTTTTTGAATTTCACTGGTGTAATTCCAATGGTCAAACTGCATATTCCAAAAAGACAAAGCCACTGCTTCAGAGCGGATGGAAAAGATGTCTCACAGGCTGGCTAGTACTAAAAATATCAGTAGGAACAGAGAAGTACCGGCTGACCAGCTAAAATCTGTTTCCCTGCTTCTCATGCACTGAGAATCCCTAGGATATTTGCAGTACGAGGTAAAGAGCTAGTTAACACGAGTACAACTTCAACCTGTCTTTAAAAGAAAGCTGTTAGAGGATCAGAGGACGTTATGTGTGAACAACTGAAAATACACAGTTATCAGAAGAGCCGCTTACTACTGGCACAATATTGGTACTGCTTTAAAGGAAGAAAATAATTATGTGCAGGTGCTTCAGTCTTCTTTGTATGTTTTGTGATATATAAAATTACCTTTGGACAAAATAGTAAGAGGAATGGAGGAGAGGATACCAGCTCAGGTAACTGAGGGTTTGGTAAATTGGAACTTAGTGCCTTTAATACTGAGTAAAAACATGCACCCCATGCAGGCTGAGCTGAGTGATGGGGCAGGTGCTCCAGGGTACAAACACATTCTGCAACTATAACCACAAGCTGTGTTTGAGGGTGTGCGGATCAGGTTCAGCTGCAGTATAGCTACACTACTCACCGGTTTTACAAAAATTTAGCAGTCTGTTGGTAACAGACAATCGGAGGAACTCAGTGCTGCCCGCTACAGACTCCTCAGATTAGCACTTATTAAAAATTAATAAAATGGTTTATTTTATATATACATATGTTCCAAAAAATTTATACAGTTAAAATATCAAATTAGTGATCTGGTAACAATACTGTTCAAAATAATCTCTTTTGTATGAACATTAAAATACACGTTTTTAAAAGCGTTTCCTTTTAGTGCTTCCAAAGCACAGCGTGTGCCAAGGCCACCTGAAGAATCTCCGTCCTCCTCACAGGATGAAAGAGAACTGAAGTCGGGGACCTGGGAAGCCTCAGGTGCACTTTCATAATGTCTGCAGACAAAACAGAAGAGAGTCTGAGGTAGATTGTTTAGTGACCATCAGGTGGTAACAGTCACAGGGCTGTCTTTAGCTTTCATTAACACAATAGCAGTTTCTTTACTCTCAATCTACACTGAATCTCAAGTTTAAAGGCATGGCTAGCAGTTCTTGGGAACAAGACCCTTGTCTCTGTGGTGGCAACATGCAATTTTACCAGTGCAGGTGTTTCTGGGAGGGTTTTTTTTGGGAACACACGGGCTCTCTCCACGATGCAGACAGTGTGTGCATTTGACAGTGCCCCATTTTAGTGCAACCTGCTGCCTATAACGTCTAATGTCTGTAAATGTCTAATGACAGCGTTCAAATGAGTAAATTCTCATCACCTGCAGGAGGGGCAGCAATGGTTATTTTCTTCAGCCTGTTGAGCAAATAGCACCCTCCACAGGAAAAAAGCCACACCTTTCATAGCAAATCCTTAAGGTTATAGCCCAGCTTCTGCCGATAGAGGTTCTTAAAGTTAAAGCTCCACTGCTTCTTCTCAGACTGTGACAGTAAAATCACTTGACTGCCAAGATGGTGAGGGCAGCAGCTACATCCTCTTCCACTCTTCTGCGGCACAGCAAACTCATTCCTGGTCCATATTCGTCTGGACGGTACATTATTATCTACTGTTGACATGATTAACTCTGTTGGGTAGGCTGTTGAACTCTAGTTCCTCTAGTATTCTCTCTAAGTGTTGTATTAAGACCCGTTTTTTAAACCTAAGGAAGAGAAGGAGAACAATTTAATTTTTATCTTGCAAAAATACAGTTCAACAACTCAAGACTATTCAGCCATGACAAATCATACTACCAGAGGCTCTCTGTTTCCAGTACGGAAGAGCTAGCTTTATTTCTGGCATTAGAATAGCCAGAAAATTTAATTTAATACAGCCGCCCTTCCCCAACCCACCCAAAATTTTGCATCGGTCTTCAATAACGACCGATCTCTCTATTTCACATTTAAACTTTAAGTAAAGATGATTTACTCCATAAAAATATAATGGTAGTTTGACCACTAAACCAACTATAGTAATTGAAATATGCCAAAAAGGAAAACAGAAAACACGAGTACTGAAAAAGTTTATGATTTACTATCATAATCTAAATTAACATTTAATTTATGACTCTGAGTCATTTATACAAACCTTGCTGCTTCCTTGATAGCAAATTCAATGAAATACTTCTGAATTTCCATAGGTCCTTGCACCTCCTCAAGAAGAGAGAAAATTTTTTCATAATCTAGAAGAAGATAAAAATCCAACCACATATTAAAAATAAGTCTTGCAAATGCACTTTCAATAAAGCTTAACAGCCAAAAGAAAAAACAAGGCCCAGAGTTTCACACTTCTGTGTATGGCAATACATGTAAAGCAAGAAAAAAAGCCCGCATTAGCTTTATGCACAGAAAGCAGGCGATACCAATAATTTGAAGTGATACTGATGAGCTGGTATTCAAATGTGGCACCAAAGAATTAGGTTCTCTTTAAAAGCAGCAGCTAGAAACATCTGCCCTTAGAAAATGCAGGCTAGGTAGAGAAGCCTCATATCTCCATGAACACAGTGCCATCATTAGCAGTTAATAGGCACGTAGGGCCACCAAGCCCTGTTTTAACCTAAAGCTGTCATTTCTGAAAGCAGAGGTTAGGATTACTTCTCTTAGAATGACTAATTATCAATGCTTAGTGTAAGCACAATTAATATGACTATCTTACTGGTACAAAGTAAATATTTCCACTGCAAAAGAATGAACTGGATACATTAAGCTAGAAACAAAGTAAAAAATAGCACTGTTTCAATATTTTCTGTAGTTGAACCCAGTATGAAGATATTTATGGCGCTGTGACTACGAGCTTGTTCAGAGTGATGCAGCAGGCACAGAGAGGATATATGGTCAGAACTGTGAATATATGTACATATTTAACCCACTACTATTTAGCTTCTTTCTTTGATGCCTGCCTGAACTCTGCAGCAAGACAGGTGACTCATGCCGAACATAGTACTATTTTGCTCTACGTTATCATTTACTAGACATGAATTTGGTATAAGATTAGATGGGCTTTGCAAAACAGGAAGCAAAGACATACACAAGTAGGAAGTTTTAAAACATCTTAAAAATAAAATACAGATGCAGCATAAAAATGGCTTCATTTCTCAACAGCTTCAGTCTGCCACAATGATTATACGCCTCCACGAAACACTAAGTTTTGGAAAGCAACACAAGATCAGAAAAACAGAAGAGTTAAGAATACTCCATTATACTAATTACTGGCACTTGACAATGTATTAGAAAAATATTCAGTAGTTTAATTTGTAGAAACAATTCGCTCAGACACAGACCACATTAGGGACATCTGCCATTTAAGAAAAAATGGAAAGATTATGCCCATGGCAAATCCTACAGAATATACATTAGTTGGAGTTTCAGGTTAGTATTTTGGTTTTGATCCTTGTACATAAGTACAGGCAAAACACGTAACAAAAGCTGAGGAGGCAACATTTCTTCTCCTCACAACATTTTACATTTTGGGGGGTTATCAAACATTGTACGAAAAAAGAAGTAAGTAATTTTTAGTCTTCAGTTCTTAAGAGTTTGCAACAGTGTTCCATCACTAATTACACTATCTCTCAAAATTAAAGAAAAAAAAAACCTCTTCGCTATTAACTGTTAAGATTCCCTTTCAAACATACTCCAGGATGCACCCTTATAGCTACATATGCCTTTGCCCTCCCCAAAGGAAGTTTTGACGGACACAGAGCAACAAAGTACACTATGCATATCCAACGAGCAGTGTGGCGTAAGGCAAAGTCTATCTAGTCTCACTAGATCAATAGTAACAAAACCAAAACCTCTGAAAGATGCTTTCACAGGGTACCTCTTATACCAATTAACCTATCTTCAAGGGCAAACAAGATCACTTGGCACTCAACTTCCCAAGCACTGTTGTCTAAACTTCAACTCACCTACCCAGCATGTAAGACCTTTCTTCCTTTTTTGCCCCTCCATTGCTCACATGCAAGCAATCAGAAATTATTCAAAATCTAAAGTTGTATGTGTATTGAAAATAGTTCCTTACTTCAAGGAAAAAAAAAATCATCTCTCTAGCGCCATGTATAATATACTAATAATAAAAAAAAAACCCACAACTTACTTCTTCCAGGTTTGCGAACCTCTTTCATCACTTTAATTTTGATATCAGCATTGTTTCCCTCCAACATCATAGGTGTTATTTTAAATGAATTTGGCACAGATTCAGAAGCAGACTCCATCGCCCGTTTTTGGTCATCTCCAGTCACACTGTAATTTAGAGGCCCTCGAACAAGTGCGTTGGTACCAGGTTTATGATCCAACCCATCTTCACTTAAACAATTGAATTCAACAGGTAGAGAGTCTAAGTCATTGGGTAACATTTCATCCTCTCCCATAGCAGCTGGAACCGAAGGAACCATTTGCACAGGTAAGCCATCAATTTGCTTTTCCAGTGACTGACAATTTTCTGCTTTCTTCTCTCCATTGCCATCTTGAACACTGTTATTGGGATCTACAAATTAAAAATATGTATCTTACTAGCACATAACTGCAGTATCAAAAAAAAAAAAAAAAGGAAATCGTCCCATCTCCTTTCTTGTTCGAAGTACAGTGTCGTGATTTGACAGTGCTGAACAACTCCCCAGTACTTTTATTCAACCTTTGATGTGACCAAGGAAACACTTCCCTTTGGACTGTCATCATCTCATATCACTATCACAATGAAGTCACCATTTTCTGTATTTCTATTGCAGTGTTATGACTTCTAAGCAAATTCATGTTTTCCTTCCTTCCCCCAATTCCAGCTAAAAAGAGTTTTCTTCTGACTCCATTTGCTGCAATAGGTGGGTAAGAAAATTAGTATTTGTGGGAAATTAAAATGTAAGCATATTTTAGCTTTCCTTCCCGACCACAGAATACACAAATGAGAACTAAAAGCTGATCTGAAATCCTTGCTACTTCCAAACCACCTTGGCAAAAGGTTTCAGTATTTTTTTTTTTTAAAACAGTTCAAGATTATTTTTTTTATTCCAGACTTCATTAGCTACAGCAGCAGCCTGTTTATCTAGGCCAAAAAAGAAACTCAGTCCTAATTAACACTCAAGCATACATACATGCTGATATACCCTTTTGAATCAACTCAGAAAGCACACAGAGAGCTGGTTGGGTTTTTTGTTTGGTTTTTTTGGGTGGTTGTTTTTGTTTGTTTTGGTTTTTTTTTAAACACACAGATATTCTCAGTTGTGACCAAGCAGGCTGCTTTACTACAACTCAGTATACCTTTATTTGCTGGGATGCCTTTGAGGTTCAGATATGATGGGGATCCAGAAGCAGACGGTGGCCCTTTCCCACCAACATGATTCGTTACGACGGGTGGTGACTGTGGCCGTCTCAACAGTGGTGACATGCTACGCCTTCTCTTTAGTGATGCTGGAGTATTAGGTTCTCCGGGACGCTTAATCTTATTCTGAGGCCCAGCGACAAATTCATCTGCTTCATCTATCATCATACCCTGAAAAGAAAAAAAAAAATTTTTTAAAAACCAGTACAAAATAGAAACTGTTTCATCAATTCATTGATGGAGTAAGTCCCTCTGTGTTACAATTCAGGTGTCTTTCAAAACACTTTACAGCTCTCAGAACAGAGATACCTAATGTACACTGTAACCAGAGACAGAGCAGTGCCACTCTGTAAATCAGCATGATTCTTTACACATTTCTCTAGGACCACGTGAAAGACACCAGTCCTTTCTGCACATGACAGAAGAGCTACACAGGTTAGCAACACACTGCAGTTATTGGAGAGAAATTCTACTCGCAAATTATTTCAAATCATGTTATATATAAAGATACAGCAGATAGCATGGCTCCTCCTACCTTCTTATCCTGTTTAAATGGATTGCCAAATGTATGAAGTCTTTTTGGTTGATCTGGGTCAATCTCCCGAAGGGGTGAAGGCATCATTTTCAGGTATTCCTGGTAATTTCCCATTTGAGCAACAGGAACACTATGAAGGCAGTCTGCAACAGAACAAGAGATCTTAACTTAGTCTACCTTAAAACCAAGGCAATACACACTTCACACACTTCAACTGCAAGCATTTAAGAACTAGAAATTACTATTTCTTTTCACTATGGAAGAAGAGCAGAAGACTACAATTTTGGAAATATGTCTGGCAAGAGTTGAGCTTAATTGGCAGAAGAAGAATGAAAAATAAGCAAGTTTAACCTCTGTGCTAACAACTCTATCTTTAGACCACCAGCACCTAACAAGGGTAAAGCAAAATAAGCCCCTCTCTGCTTTAAGCCACCATCACTGTAAAAAACATGTCTACTGAACCTTATGGTAGGGGAAGCTTGTCCATGAAACTTATTTTTAAAATTCAAAGCAAGCATGACATCTTGCATGACAGAAGGCAAAAATTTCCTTCTTTCCCCTTCAGAGTAAGGAAGAGGACACTGACTGACTTAACAAATGATGGAATGTCCACTTCTGCTCCCATACCCAGGGCAGAACACACAACCTTCAGGGAATAAAAAAAAATAGCTGTACTCTCTCCAAACTGTTAATGAAGAACAGTGGCTACTTACCTTCATCCTGCCCCAAGATAAGCCTGTGTGTTTTCAGAAGATTAGTCCTCATTCTAGTTAGCTGGTCTAAAAGACTGCGACGAGGAATATCATACGCATTTCTGAATGCCTGTGGCTTCAAATCCTAGTTTCATAACAAAACAAGTAACTTTCAGTTAACCCATCAGTTCTCACGCACAGAGAAATTCCTCCATGAACTATAATAATGTTAACTATTAAAAAAATTATTCTGAAGTAACTTCAGAGCTTCATAACTGGATACAGCAAACTCAATGACTGTCTTTTCAATGAGACTTTATTCAGCATTAGTGCTTTCAGCTCCATTAAAACTAAGCATGTTAATTTCTGGATGAACACCGCTAGCTGTCTTTTGCAGAGATTGTCACTTAAAACACAGTAATCTTTGTTTTCTACCATGGGATTTTCAAACAGTGTCCCAAAAGCAAGTGCAAAAAATTGCATTTACTCTTCTCGCTATTTAGGCCTACGCTGCACTCTTCACAATTCAGTGAATGTATTTACTTCTTTCTTCCACACTAAGTCCATAAAAGTTACCCATTTAAAACAGATGAAGATGCAAGATCACTACGCTCTTTACCTTGTTTAAAAGTCCTATGTGGAAGCCAGCAAATTCTTTAACGTTCATTTCCGCCAGTCTCAGGGGAGATTCCCCAGTGATCCCTTGCAGCAGTTGCTTAAAATCCCTGCTGTGTACCAAGGAGAGGCCACTGGAGTGATTTTTCACTTTTATTCCAATTTCTTGTGGAACTTTCTTACCCACTGAACCTATTATCCGTTCCGACTCTATTTTTGTCTAAAATGGAATCACACCATGAGTTAAAGAATCAGCAGGCATTGCAGATTTCCAGTATAAAATACATAGTACATTAACAGAATAAAACTATAAATTTAGTTCCCAATTACTCAACAAATGGGAAAACTACCTACCCAGGGATATATTGGATTACATAGATTAGATGTCAAGTAGAAAGAAATCCTAATGTGCTAGCATATGGAAAAAATATTTGGCTAGTGTATCTAAATTTATATGCCAGTAGGAGATCTGTGAATATCCCTGATTTTGCTGCAAGTCATATGACTTTCTTTTGTGTCCCTGAAGAATCATCTTTGAAGGGAAGGAAAAAATAATAATGGAAGGTAGGATGCTTTAGGTTACTGTAAAGTTGCATCTAAAACAGTATTGTTCAGATACTGTAACATAATTCCAGATTTCATTTTTTAAACAACCTACGAACTAAGGTTTGCACTATATATTTGCAACAAGGGAGGAAAGTCGTAAAAGAAATTTGCTTCATCAATAAGTTTCTAAAAACATATTACTTCTCCAATTAGCACAAATTTCTTATTACAGCTACAGATAATTTTACGTATTAAACTTTAACTGTATTCACAGTAAGACCCACTTGCAATACCTCCAAAAAATCCCAACCAACCAAAACCAACGGTGATTGCAACCCACTTCCCCCATATCTCACCCTCTGCAGGGTTTGCTTCATTATCTATGGGAAACTCTGAACTTAAGGACAGCGGGAGCACAGCAAAATTCTGGAATTGCTTGTCCCTATACAGGAGCTTATAATGCATCCAACACATTTAAACTGTTTCATGTGCTGAGAATGTCTGTGAAAACCACAGTAGCCATCTCATATGAATTTGCATATCATTAAGTTACCGAAATACCACAGGAAGTTTTATGTCTAATAGACGCTCAGTCATTCAGAGGTTTTTGGAATATATTTTGTGCATTCTTTAAGGCGGAGGATTTTTCCTTTGTAATTTTAAAGGCTGCACTGCTTCCCCACTGACATCTAAATATTAAACTACTGTTGCAAGAACCATTTGTGCTAAGGAGGCATGGCTTTCAGACAGTTACACCTGAAATGGCATTCTTGACAGAGAGAAAAAGACATGTAAGACTACTTCCCACCAGGTCACACTTAACACATAGAACGGATTTGACCTGAAGGAAACAGGAAGCTCAGATATAAAGCTTGAACTATGACTTTAATCCCCGTGGACAAGAACGTACACTTTTTTGGAACATACACATTGCCAAGGCACACATGGAAATAAACATGAGACTGAGAGCAAGCCTCTGACTTCAGCTGTGAAGAACAATGGCAAGAGCAGTCATAAATCCAATTGGTGATAACCTTTGGAGTTTAAAGGTCTAGCAGATACTTAAAACGTAGCTGAAGAGGTCTCCTTCACACTCCCCTCCACCACTTACAGAAGGCACAATCACTGGCTACAGAATCACTCTGGATTCACCCACATTTGCAGTGGAAATGCTCACCAATCTTCAATTATAATATATGCTGTACACCCATATGAACTCCCACAGCAATTAACTGCTTTATTATGAGATTACCACAAACTAAATAATCAACGCACTTCTAATTGCAAAGGTTTTATCAATACTACCTGTTGGCTGAGTTTTTTAAGGTAAGAGATAACACTGTAACTAAGTCCACAATCTAAATTATCTGATATCAGATTTGGAGCTCCCATCATCCTTAGGGCTTTCTTTAATGGCTATAAGGAAAACAAAATACACAATAGTAAGAGAATAAGTCTTTAAAAAAAAAATTTATAAGATCAATTACAGGAAGCTAAGGCACATGGATTAGTGCTCTAGCTTTTCCACTTTTGGCCACTAAAATTCAAGCCTATTCAGATAACATGTGACATGAGTTTGGTAGTCTAACTAGCTCGCAATGGACGTTATGCCACATTACCAAGACACCACATGGTGTGGTGCCACTGGCAATTTCCACTCAAAGGCTCAGTACCAGAATAGCCGGGATGATGCAAGTCCATATTGAGGTGCATTGTCCAAGCTACATGTAAAAGGTGACCCACTGCCTCCCCCCACCCTTTATTTGGCCCAGCCAGTTCTTAGTATCAGCTTCCCAAGTTCTAGCACTTCACCCACATTAATAAACAAACAAATCTGCATTTTCCTCATCAAGTAACAAAAATAATGCCAAATTTGGTTTCTCTGAACAATCTAAAGTACTTTAGATCAAAGCTTACTTAATATTTAACGAAAACACATTTAATATCTGAATATAGTTACTATTACTCAATGTTACTAGAATTTTATTTATTTATTAAAAATGTTTGACCTGATCTACATACCTCTGCAAAGCAAAATGTTTACTACCTAAAACATCATCATAATTATGTAAACAAAATTCACTAGGAAGAGGTATGATGCACAGGACTCTGGTCACACCAGCCATTATACCCAGGAGGATGAAATGAGAAAAGGAACATACCAGTAAGTAGTAAGGAGGCATTGTTTTTAAGTAGTTGTCAAAAGCCTGTCGCCACTTCAGATTTGGCTTAAGTTTGTGAACCTTAAACAAGTCATCTGCAACAAGGAAAACAACAAAAGAAGGTTTCATTTATATAGTCCCAGACCATAAGCATTATCCAAAATTCAGCGTGCCAAGTTTCCCCCCCTTTTCTTCTCCCTCCACCCATCTCCCAATGGGGCTTCCCCACAAAAACTGTTCTTAACCTTAGGTTTGAAGGATTGCGAATCCCCAGTCCTAGCTGCAGTAGACAATCCAGAATAAGTCCTCATTATAGGCAAACTTACAAGGTACACGAGACTTAAATACTGCACACAACTACTAGCAGCATGGAAGGTGCAACAGATCCACCTGTTAAGAGTTTCACCTCCCTTGCCTCTCTCTTGCATCATCAGGAACTCCCTGTATCTGATTAAACCAAACAACATTCATTTGGGTCAATTTCCATTTTCAGCCCAGCCTTCTTTTGTTCAACCTGTATGATGAATTCTGGTCTCCAATAAAAACATTCTTGGGCATCAAAGGGAAAGGGAAAAAAAAAATATCAGAGCAGGGAATATTTCTGGTCAGCTTCGCTGGACTCTGCTGACAACAGAGGCAGCTGCCCCCAGCAGAGAAGGGGGCCTCCAGCCACACTGCCTGCCTCGTGCAGAGCATCAAACTCTCCCACAGATACAGACAAGAGACAGTAATTAGCTACAAAACCTGCTGCCCTTTAAGAGAAGGGCAACCACACAGATTATTTCCTTTGGGTACTGTTTTAGAAATACCTTGCTTGCATTAGAGGTGTGCATACTGCCATTTAGGAATCACTGAGTTGAAGCATGTACCTATTTGCCGTGCAAGCTATAAACTGTAACAGTGATCTCTAAACATCAAAAATGAACACAGTATCCTGCAGTTTATCATTTGAAATTATGGATTATCAATTGAGATCAAGTTTCTCCTTAGTAGGGCTGTAACATGCTGGCAAAGTGAGGCTAATGGAAGGATATGCAGGACTGGAGAAAGAGATGTCCAAAAATTAACTGGGGAGAGCTGCAGGAGACAGAGATGCACAGAAGAGGGTGTGCGGAAGACAGATGCAGCAAGGAAATTGTTTTCTCCAGATTGAGTTTTCATGAAGATATATTTGGAAAAGAAAATTTGACTTGCATAGTATTCTGCACAAATCGAACAGATGTTAAGATACAGTTTTCCAAGTTCATAGTCAAACCACACTTAATTACAGGTATTTTCCAATCTAAATGAATTCTGTATCACATATAAAAACCACACTACAGATGCTAATTGTTCTCTTTCCTAGCCTGAAGGAAGTGGGGTGGAGCTTGAGAGGACAAGTTAGAACTCCATTTAAAATCTCAATATACCACATGCTTAGCACTATTATCCAAAAGAACCCGTGATGATATCATGACATATGGCAAATATAAAGTAACATCCATTCTTATCTTATAAGCCTACTAGCTTTTTGCAGCAAAATGGAAGTTAAACTACACCACTCCCCCAAAATTTAAGAGTTTGGTATCATAGTATATCCTAATGTTTTAAAGTCTATGAGTTGGTTATGAGTACAGCTTGAACCTTAAACCCCTTATCAGCACTTTATTACCATCTCACTTCCTGCACTGTGAAGTTTGTACCAGTATATAAGCCCTGCAGTTCGACTGCACAGCCACTCTTAAATGGCACAGACATTCATAATGCTAAGCTAGCTATGATTCTTAATCCACAGCATAGCTATAGTCTGAGAAGTCAAATGCAAAAGAACCTCCCCGATCTTTTCTATCCAAGTAAAAAGTTCTCAAATCTAAGTAGAGCTTCAGCAAAGATTTGTCTATTTAAAATGAGAGCCTCCCCACAGCACGAACTCACTGCAGGAACTCCTACCCTCTAAAAGGAAGACAGTCATGGTGTCAGCCACAAGTTTCAAAGAGAACATCACCATCAACATCTTACCTGCCTCTATTGCAAGAGTTTGAGACATACGCTGTCAGCAGACTGCAACACAGGCACTTGAAATGTACTTTTTCCAGTGTGCCCTGGGCTGCACATAATCATTTATATAAATAAGCAAACAAACAGTAACCCAGTTAACTATGTCACAGATTAAATCCCAAACTTCTGTAGATAAAATCCAAAAGTACTGAAAAAATCCTTTCATAAATCAGTCTTAATCCAACCTATTCCTTTTCAGATACTACTCTCTGTATAGGCCACTTAATGCAGAATTCTTTTTCCTTCTAAACTCACAGGGAGCTAAAAGCACCGGATAATTGGGAACATGGTATTAAAAACCACTACGAAAGGGCCACAAACTGCAACAATTCAAGAGATCAGGTAAAACTACAGACAGACCAGTTAATTTAAAACTGTGTTGCAAAGTCTTTATCCACTCCAGATTAATGTACAAAACAACCAAATTGTGACAAACAGGATACCAATACACATCTTTAATACCCAGTACCACATAAGAGGACTTGATGCACCTTCAAGTTCAGTGAACAATTAAAAAAAAAAAAGAGCATGAGAGAGAGAATGGTCAGCAGGTCATTTTAGTAGTTCAGCTGGAGCCTAATTACAAGAACAGTTCATGTGTCTAGTTGTCTCACAACAGTCTAGTTGTGAGTGACAGCTTGCACCACGTAACCCAAAGTAAAAACTTACACTTTTTTTTTGGTAAAAAAATCACTACTCATTAAATTCCACCTGAGCAAATACACCACCATTCCCTGTTAACTCCTACAATCCTCTGAGCTTTCTAATGATTCTGCACTAATAGATACACTCCTTTGTTTTAAGCAGTAGAGACTCATGATTTTACATTCACGGAAAGCAATATCCTTCCCTGCAAACAATCTAGCCAAAAATAAGGCACTACAATGTAAAATAGTATCCACCATTAAAAAAGGAATTGTGGCACTCTTTTCCATTGATACAAAATGTTTGGCTCTCCCTCCCAGTGCCACAGCTTACTATGCTCACATTTGTGAGAAAGACAGCCCTTGGTTTCCAAAATATAAAATCATTACTTGCAGGTTCTGTCACGGAGCCTGTAAAAGCATCAAAGGAAACTGTCCATGTTGCAGTCCTTCACGGGCAGACATTTTCTAAACGCTTATCCTTCTGCACATTTAGACCCACAGAGAAAGGGTATTAACCACTTTCTCGTGGCATTTTCACCATGGCTGTTTCAGTACTGCTTTTGCTGACACTCCCAATGAATAATCACTCCTATTGCCCAGCAGCGCCTGCCCTCCCACTAACGCAGCTAAGATCAGTCAAGCAACATCTTAGGCAAGGCAGGAGCATTCAGAAGTATACCTCATCATTGCTAAGCTCTCTCTCTAACCCCTCGTTTGACTTCTAGTTTATGAACTTGGCTGTAAAATTGTTTTTAAACAGAATATCTGAAGTACAATAGCTTTGCTAGTGTCAGATAAAGGCAACAATCCTTCAAGAGGAAATTTCTATAATTCATGGGCCAAACATATTCACCATCAAAGTATGTCAGCATCTGTCTGAAAAGTTTTGTCTTCAGAAGTCTGCCTCACACTGAACAAAAAAAAAAAAGATAAGACAAGAACTGCACCCCACCTCCTCAGTTCCCAGAGCAAACCACCACCCCAAGCTAGTCATGATGCCTCTCTAGCCTTTCCTATGAGAGCAATAAGGAGCTGCTCAGCTGCAACAGCACATCCCACATGGTCTGTCTTATCTCTGTAAAAGATCTGTAGACCAGAATTTTTGTCAGACGACCAATTTACCATAGCACATGGGTCAGGTTAACACACGGAGACTGTGCAGCTTCACTGTTTTGTGAAGTCTCATTGATTGGCTCCCTTCCTTACAAATCCTTCAGATTCTAAAAGGAGACCCATTAAGTTACAAGCTAGGAGAGGCTACAGCATTCCCAAATCCACTCTTGCAGAAACCAAGATATAAATCACCAAATCTATAGGATGTGGTACAATTTACCTCCTTCAGTCACGGACCACTACAACTTCTTTCAGTTTGCGCAAGTATCATCTGCAAGTTTCCTCATGCATGCCTATCTTACCTGTCTTTTAGGGCTGTCTCTTACATTGTCTTCCAAAACCAGAATTAAAACTTCCCCTGCTCAAGAATGCAGGAGGAATACAAAAATGCAAGAAAAAAATTCTTAAGCATCTTGCTATCTGTTTATAAGGCTGAACACACGTAAGCCACTTGATAAGACATTACAAATAATACAGTTGTAAAGTGGTTTTGGCTTTGTCTGAGAGAGTCCCTAGAAAGAAGGGAGAGAGATTATCCACGGTACTATGCCAAGGTAATTCCCAGTCCTCCAACACAATAGTCTACCAGTAGGGCAGTAGCCACTAGAACCTCACTGATGCACCAATATGAGTGGTAGTGGCTGAATAGAGCAGGCTTCTCCTGGGCTTGGAAGTTCTCACATCCTATTTAATCTGGGCGAGAGTAATGAAAGACTGGTTTTACACAGGCAAATCAGTCCTCTACTGAACCATCAATATCCACTATTGGTATGTGTTAAGACAGACATGGGGCAGGGGGTTTAAAAACAGAAACATCCCCTACTACCTACGGAGACAAACACAGAATCAGTATTTTTTAAAACATCTACAAATAATTTAACAGGTATGCTGCTTATCATCTTAGTCATTTTCTGTACTGCTAAGTAGAAAAAGGGCCAGATCTGCTTTTGTGTATATTCCACAGAACTTAATTTCACCACGCCTTAAAGACCAAGGATAAACTAAGTCCTGGAACGAGATCTGAACGTAACACTTCGTGTATGTGTTTGTGTTAACAATACGGAATGCACAGTATTTGTGTTCTAGAGAAAACATCCACTTTACAACTCAGGCAACATGGAAGCTCTGCGTTTTTCTTTAAACAGCCTTTGGAAATTTAAGATGTGGGATACCAGGTGAGCAAACTGCAGAATAACACTATACATACTGAAAAATGCCTTTCTCCAAGGAGTAGGAAGAGCTTTACATCCCTGCAAAAAATGCAGCAGGAAGACAAGAGCTGCCAGGGAAGACAGAACAGAACTGCAAATGTCAACATCACAATGAACAGGGAAATTCATTTAGTATCAGTGATGGCTTTTCAGCTAGGGGATCTGCTGCAGTAATTCAGTAGCCACAAACTCGCAGAAACTCTAATTTAGTCTAGAAGTATCCTACTTGCACACTTTGGGACAATTATTAGGCTACATGGATGACTATATAAGACACATTCAAATTATCCGCAAGGACAAATTTCTTTTTTTTGTTATGACCAGGATTATGAAAAAGCATTCCTGAACTATGTTGTGGTTTTTTTCTAGAAATGAATGGAAAAATCCTGTGTAAGACAGTAAGAGTCAATGTTAATTCTCTTGATCTCCACTGTTATTCTGTATCACTAAACACACCCACAAAAATCAGAACAAAAAAGCCTTATAGCATCTGCAACTAAAAGGGTTAGTAGCACCCAGGACACTCTTCTCTCTGCCATTACCTTTATGCCAGAACCCTAATAGCCACAATTATTATTGCAGTTATTCACACAGCACCTTCTCATACCATCTTTCCTGTAGAAAGTAATTTCACTGTGGGAGTGAAAAAAACACTGGTCCTTTGGGCAGGGAAAGAAATGTAGACTGTTTCACTGCTCAGTTCCTTCTTGCTGCTCTAAACTGCGTCAGGGAATTCCCTCTTCCCAACACCCATGACAAACACTGCATCTGATCTTCCAGTAAAAAATTAGCTGCTACAAGAGCAACTGCAAAACCTGGATACACCACACCCTAAATGAGGGAAAAGAATGGAGGTTGAAGCTTACTCCAGGTTAAGGAAGAGGCTACGTGTCTAGGAGGTGAACAGCATCAAACATGCACTGGAAGCAGGTAGCTCTCCTCCTCTGCTGGAGAGAAAAAAAGGGAGAGGGGGTATGAAAATCCTCTCCTCCCAAATTATGTTAAAGAGTTTGCAACATTCTCTACTCTCTGATCTCCATTATTTTATAATGTCTCAAACTAAGGCAGAACACCAACCATTATTGTTTTTCTTTTACTCTGAAGTAGCTGCATTGGCAGTCCAATGTAAATTTAGTACCTACCTAACAACGGAAGTAAAACAGGATAGTTGTAAGGCATCACAAAGAGGTTTACACAGGTTAAAGTAGTGCTTGCTTTTAAATACCCGAACGGATGGCCAAGTTCGCTGTATTTTCCACTGCTACCCACAAATACCTGATAAAGAATAAGAGATATCACTGTATTAGAAGAATATGAAGAATATTAAGCACATGACATTTAAAAATTAAAATCAATCTGAATCCAATTGCATTAAGACAGCAAATTATCAAGAACAGCCAAGTTTGAGGTTGCATACCTCAGGATGAGCATGCACTTACATTCCCCAGTCAAAAACTGAGACATGTGATATTTAGGGTACCCCCAGCCAGTGTGGAAATGCTCTTCATAGTATAATCTTTAATGCTTTAGTGAAACTACCTTGAAGTGATGCTCTGAAATGTTTTTGAAATTATTTAAAATAGGTTAGGGGACATCTGTTGAAGGTATGTTAAAAAACAATCTATTTGAAATTAGTCTTCTGACTCATAAAATAGCATGACTAAAATTTACAACACTGATAAAAGAAATGTAAAACTTTTTAAGCATAGAAATTAAGCAAAAGAAACAAATATTCAAGAAACGTCTTTTAATTATGCCAAGCGGCAACATTCTTAACATTGACTTTTTTTTTTTTTTAAAGTGTATATATATGGGGGTATTAATACACGCAAACAACTATTTCAACAGGACAAAGACAGTACTTATTCTTATTGGGACAGTCAAAATAACCCACATCTAACAAAAAATAGTTTTCCTAAAAAAAAGTAAACCTTGCAATGAAAAGGAAGTGTTTCTTCTCTATTTTTTCAGAGCATAAGGAACGGGGTTTGTTACATGGTTTCTATGACAACAAGCCTATTTCTCCAGTTTGTAAGGGTCTGATATGTAGCTGGGAGAAGAAAAGCAGTTTTTGAAAAACAGCAGAGTAATTTTAATAACTTAGGCAAATAATGTACCTATGAATTGCTTAAAGGACATTTTTAAAACTAGTTTATTAAAAGTAACTTCACTTTTTCTTCTGAATATGCGTATTATATTTTCAGTTAAGTTGTAGTATTTATTAGGGAAACAGAAATGTGAAAGAGACACCTCCAAACCCATCTTTCCAGCTAAAGTATCATACTAAGCAAACTCCTGGTGTACATTAAGCTATTCTTTACAAGAATACCATTGAGAAGGGAATTACAAGCTTTATTTTATAGAGAATGCAGAAACAAGTCACTTATCCAAGAATCACAAAAGGAGCATGTGACAAAGGATTTCAGCAACAGAACTTTGACCTCTTCAAGGCCAATCTAGTCAACAAGATCAACAGCTTCCATTCAATTCCCATTAGCAGTTTCAACCATCTAGTGGAAGTTATTTGCAGCTGTTGATTAGGTAACATGATAGAAACTAGTGCTAGGTTTTCCCTGTAAGCAAATGGAAGCCTACAGAGAATTTCAATTTAGCTGAAAATGGAACCTGTGGGACACATTTCTTCGCAAAATGAGATGGACCTAGAAACAGAATTAAATGAGATTACAAAGCCTGTAGAGGGAACACTCATTCTGACTCCTGATAATTCTGTTAGAAGGGAGGTAACTGAAACCTTGACATGTTTCTTCTCATCAACTGCAGAGTCTGCAACCAGACCCCAATTCTCCAGGCTTACAAAGACTAAAGTACCTTAGGATGTCCATTACATTTCTAGAATCAAATAAAGGGCAAGTACCTGCCAGCAGGTATGGGGAGACTTTCGTTCCAAGATGTACTGTGTTAAGGGTGAAGGCTCAAGCTCATACTTGTCAAAAGGAAGTTTGTCTATTACCATTGGCTCACAATCAACACAGGAGAACCTCACAACAGGGTGAGCTGTGCGTGGAGGCTAAAAGGAAGGGGAAAAAAACCCATATAAATTGTCTGGTATTTATGGTAAACAAATCAATTCTCTTAAAATGATTCATATGCATGTATTTTACCATCCTATAGGCTTAAACTCTCAGTTTCTACCACTTCCTTTAAAAGAGAAAAAGATACAAGCTCCCACAATAGAATATAGATTAATTAAGTAATTCTCTAACTTCAGAAAAAAAAAAAGCCACACACACACGTACATACATTCTTCCCACCAAGAGAAAAACATGTTTAATATTCAATTATTTATCTTGATATTTAAAATCCTCCATGCCAATTAACCTATCACAGACAGGTTTCAAGAAAAAACTTCAACTCTGCTTCCCAGCTTGATGTTCACAGAATTACAGATGTGAAAGAGTGCTCACTTCGCAAAGGATATCTCAAGATATACCCTGCCAAGTCTGATTTTTTTCCTCTTGAATCACGGCAGGGAAAAACAGTACCTTGAGCACTTGCAAAGTACAGAAACAGAACATGCCTAACAAAAGAGAGATGTTTAGAAAGGCTAGTAAGACATGCCAAATGTATGATCATTTCAATAAGAAAGGAGAAATGAATGCTGGTTTTCCCTCATTTTCTGAATGGGGTAACTCTTCTGTTTCAGTTTTAATTTTTCCTGCTAATGAAAGAAGAGTCCATACATGAAGTAATATTAAGCAGAGAAAACATGGTTGATCTTCTACAAAAAACAAATACTCCCTTTTCCATATACATGCATTTTATAAAGCTTTGATTAAAATTTAATAGGTTCACTATGATTTGTGGTATGTGAAGTAATTTAGAGTTAAATTTTATAATCTTTTAAAAACCATTTACCAAATTAACTAGCCATATACACAGAAGCAGACCTTCCAGATGCAAAAAACATCACAGCATACAGTATCTACATTACAATATACCATTACATGTTAAAAATAGTTTTAACTACCCTTTTAAAGCAAAGTCAGATCATATTAGTGAACAGAGAAAGTAAAACAAACAAACAAACAACTTTATTATTCTTTTTCAGTCTGTTTCATTAGGTGTAGAATCCTTTTTTCAGTTCTTATTTTACTTACCAGTGTTGGTGAATTCTGATCAGGCCAAAAAGATTCTGGGATTGGCCAATGCCCAACAGGAACACCAGTTTTAGGGTTAGGCCGTACATAAATGAGTTTATGACAACTATGCCACGGTTGAGAAGCAAATGAATTGATGGGCCTGGATGAATCAACTAGTCCATCTAAAATTTAAACAAAGCAAAATAACAACAAAAAAGAAAATAAAAAGCTACATTCATGCATTTGTCTCCCAGCAGAGTTTCTGTATTAGCAACCAATAAGGTGTTTCATTACAATTGTTTCAAAGACATACAGATGTTTACATCAGTGGTTGACAAAACTACATCAAAACGTAGAACAGCATAATCTGAGAAACAATGATAACATTTGCCCACACCTACCCTTCTGCTCCTGCGGCATAGCCATTAGATAATTAGCGCAGAAAGACATACTCTCATATTTCCGAACACGCTATTTGCTTAAGCTGAGTACTTTGACATAGATCCGATAGGCAACAGCAAGCCTATCGTTTTCAGTTCTGCTGTATTTGTAAAGACTAATAATTTGCATTTACAGTCTTTCTACATGGAATGCAAAGCTCTCTGACTGATGCTGCCACTAGTGTAAACTGGAAGTGGAGGAAAGTTTCACGGAAAAGTCAGATGCATCTTGCAGGAGCAGCTTTTGTCACATTTTTAATTAGTAAGAATTCACAGATCACTTAAATGCCACTCTCTACTGGAAAGACCAGTGTCTTCTGCCAGTCCACTGCAGTGTACCAGCATAGACTCTCGTTCACACTGAGGACAAAAAAGTTTGTAGCAGTACAGAATCTCAGCGTTAGTTTTCAAAGATTGCTCTTCAAAGCAAACGACACAGCAGAGATCATCCCTTTAAAGACTCTTCTTCATTGTAAAGATATTTTACACTACTATTTTTCCCTGCTTTAGATAGCTGGCCAATAATACTCTGCAAAACATCTTTCAGATACATATCAGTTTGGTTTCTCTGCATTATATACACAGTGATTTTTCTAGCATTGTTAAATCCCACAAAATTTCTCTCTAGGTCTTTCTCAATTCATGTGAAGAGGGAAAGTATCGATATTTTTGTATATTCATATCCACACTGCATCACCATTTAAGTGTGACAAAAAAAAAAAAAAATTCATCAGCCATTTTGCCACATCGGAGAACATTTGGGCCAACACAGACACAGGAATTTGCTGAGGTGCTGTCCTGCACAGCATTATAGGAAAGCCTTCCAATAAAATGGCATTTAAATAAGTAAAAGGAGGAAAAAAAAAAATATATATACACAGCAAGAAAAAGGTGATTCAAAAATGAAAGCAGGAGTAAAGCTGGCTATGCTAGGATGCTCAGGGGATCCTAAAACCTATTACGTTTCTGATATTCCAGGAACATCCTCATTTCCTAAACATGAACTGGTCAGCTCTCTCTCCTTCCTTTCAGACGTAAATTTCTGCAAGTCTGAAAAACTGCTCCACGTTAAGAATGCATTTTCCTCTTCCCTATTATGCACTTCACTCGCAACTAGCAAAATAATTCCTTGTTCTTTGCATAGTTTTTCACCAGCAGCTAAGAACATTCAACTGAAACTTACTGTGTTGTGATCAATTAGCAGAATGAACACATACAGAAAATTAAGCATTGAGATTACTTTAGAGATGTTTTAAGTGTTTAAATACACTAGTCCTGGATTTAATTATTTTAAAACCAACTTCCTGCAAACATGCACTTCCCTCACCCCCCAAAAAAGAAGCGAGAAAACAGTGACAGGAGAGCTAGCAAGCAGGTAGATCTTCCATACAAATATGTGCAAACATATGGCACCATTTAACTTATTAAGGATCAAACTAACACTTGTAAAAATATAGCAAAGACAAGACTAAACATAAATAAACACAAAACTACTCAAAAGCTATGAACAGCACATCCATTATGATTTGGGGTATTTAAAGAGATACCAGAGCTCTATCACTGAAGCATATAAGCTTTATAGCTTAATTCCTTGTTTAGAATTTATTAGGCATTCCATGCATCCTGCCCACTACAGTGAAAAGCTGGTAGGAAGGACACCGAAGACACTTAAGGACATTTGCATGCATACAAAACATTTCTTCTTGAACATTAGGGGGAAAAAAACAGTTACTATACCTTCTCCAATAGGAGCTGGATCTGGTCCCGACTTTTCAAAGTTAATAACAACTCCACTTTGGACTTTTTGAACTAGAGATTCTAAACATTGATTCAACATTCTTTGTGTCCGAACGCAGTAAGAACGACCTATACAAGAGATAAATTACACAGGGAAAATACGAAAGCAAGTTTTGAGTAATCTTAATTAAGGAAGATGTTTTATTACATAAGTCACAATGCCAAGGCTTTCAGTTTTGTCCAAAATAATAGCAACAAACTTTGTACAAGGTCATGTAAAAGGCAAAATACTTTTCAAATGCAATACAATCAAGGGAAGAAAAAAACCAACCTGCTGAGCTTTTACTCATAGTAAAAGAGGCCATTAAGGCTAAATCAGGCTGGTCCAAGGCCAAGTTTATAAAGCCCTTAAGAACATCTGATTTCACCAAGCCTATGTAATCTATCTGCTTCTATCTACCCAAACCTTACCAACTCCTATACACTCCCAAACTTCCCCCTCCCACGCAACTTTTTTTTCAAGCACCAATTCAAAAAAATTCTGATGCACATCTCAAGGAACAGGCTCCAGAATTAATTCTTTTAAGATTAAATTTAGCTTATTAGCCCTGCAGCAGAATTAACATCTCAGTAATACCTGTCCCACTCAATTCAACATTTAAATAACAAATCTCATGACTGAGCAAAGCCAACCTCTGGAAGGACAATCTAAGAAATTTTCCAATCCCTCCTACTGCTGCACTAAGAAAATTCTCTGACATCTAGAAGATCTGAAATAGGAATACGGTTTTATTTTAAAGTTCTCCTGTGCTACAGGAAACCAAACTCAAAAAACACCCCACAGATTCACATGGACACCGCGTAATTCAGATGGAGAAAACAGCAAGAGGTGAAGTGGAATCAAAGGAAAAGGAATACTTTAAGGTAAATACCAGATGTGAACCAAAGCAAAGTAACATCCAGTTACCTCCTGTAACTTCGCACATCTGTGTGATAGCAGATTCATCAGTAGGCACACTCCCAAGCTGCTCTGGCTCCTGGCAAACGCAGGACTAGAGCAAACAGCCTTTGATCCCAACGAAATGGTTCTTTGGTTAGTTCACTTCCAGGCAAAGGAGAATTCAAAGGAAGATGAAGCTGGTAAAGAAAAATTTAAGAATATTTTCAAGTACTTGACAAACCAATACTCAAATTTATTCATTACTCGGTAAAGGATCCCATTTCTCTCCTATCCACTAATTTATCTGAAGTTATAGTCTGGAAACCCATGTGAACTATGAATTTAGGGGCTGGGCAATGACAGCATAGCTAGCTTCTGTTCTCTATTATAAAACAGGTTGATGAAGCAGAAGTACTATTAGCAGGAAAAAACAACTAATATTAATCTCAGCATAGCACCAACTTGCAAGATCAAAACTTGAAAGAATTTAATGCAAGTTTACCTCCTCTTGAACTCCAGCCGTATTTGTCAGTTTGTTTCCGTCTGTGATGGTAATCAAAATAGATGGCTCCAAAAAGAATGGATTCCTTCCCTACAGACAAAAGCACAGGAATGCTAAGAGTAACCTCAACACTCAGTTATAGGCTTACATTTTTGTCATTATAAAATAAACAGTAAGATGAGCAATCTTTCAAAATAATCTTGTAATTTTCTTTCACTAAGTGTGGAGCCACACAGAAGTACGCAAGATGTGCTACTCTGCGCACTCACACACACCCCCTAAAGATTTTTAGAATTACTAGTCTTTTTCCTCCGGTAATAGTACAAAACCCCTCTAGCCCACAAAAGCAGTATATAAATTGGTAATAATACAGAGAACTCAATTTCATGACAACACTAGGGCAAAAACCAGAGTACTTTTAATGGGACTCTTCAAATGTGAGAAAGGGGAAGTCAGGACATTAACTACTGTCGTGGTTTAACCAACCACGCAGCCGCTCACTCACTCCCCCCCGCCCCCAGGGCGACGGGGCGGGAATCGGGAGGGGCAGAGGGGGG